TCTCTCTCAAATAAATAAATAAATAAATAAATAAATAAAAATATATATACACAAAAGGTCACTTAAAATTTTAAAACAGATGAATGGAAGAATTGACAGGTAGGTAAAATTTAAGCCAACCCATGCCTAGATATCCCCCTCCCCTATCACAAAAACCCATGACTCACAGAGCTGTGATAAGAAGGATTTGTCTCCAAGAATGGTGTCATAGTAGAGAATGAACCAGCCCTCAATCACCATATGGACGAATGCACACACTGCAAACCAGCACACGGATAGTCGCCGCCATATTCCCAGTGGGACAACTGAAGCAAAACTGGACAACAGCCACGCGGTCACAACGATCACCCCAAAGACGGTGAACAGGGCAGTCACAATATACCAGGAGGGAAGGTCATTAGGCACAAAGTGGTCCAGCCTCAGGTGCTGAGGCCAGTATGGGTGCGAGGAGCCTGTGTTGGTGCTGGCCATGTCTCTATGGTCTGGCGACTGTATGTGGACAGAGAGGAGAAAAATATCCCTGAAAAACCTAGACAAGTAGAAAGCAGAGTGAGAAAATTATTACGAAAAATAAAACAGATTACCAGTTAATAAACTAACTGTAAATCAGGGGCTCTCTTAATTGCATAGGCCGGGCCTGCACTGGTGATCCTCCTGCCGCAGACTCCCCCACTGCAGGGATTACAAGACTGTGCTACCAAGTCCAGCTTGGATTTAAAAAAAAAATTAATCCTGCCAGGCATGGTGGCATACACCCATGATCCAAGCACTTGGGAAGTGGTGGTAGGAGGCTTGCTCCCTGTGAGAGTCTGGCCTGGGCTACAAAATGAATTAATGGAGAGCCTGAACTATATAGTGGGCCTTCATCTCATAAACCAAAATGACAACGACCATGATTTCAGCAATTTAATCTTAAAAATAAAATAAAATAAATCAATCTCATTGTACGATGTTAGAAACATGACTAAAATATAAGAACACAGGGAGACTGAAAGTTTGTTCCAAGTCTTTCGTAGCTGTAATAACTGGAAACAGACTTGAGCTCAGCCCTCTCCAGTCACAATCTACCGAAGGAAACACAGGAACCCAGCCTGGTCCCGGTCTTCCTTGGTCACAGTGTGGTGGTTGAATCACTGTCACTCAGGCTGGCTCAATTTGGTGACAAGAAACAGGAATCAGCTCTGGGTCTACCGTAGAGGCCAATGTCTTGCACAGTTCAACAGAATGCACACGGGACGCTGAGGCAGGACGATCACAGGATCGCCGCCTGTTCAAGGCCGGCCCAGGCTACGTAATGAGTTCAAGGCCAGCCTGGACTACATAGCGAAACCCTGACACAAACAAAACAAACAAACAAACAACACTCAGTTCAACGGAAAGCTATTATTCCTTCTTCCGGGGTCCTGGTAATCTGGGTGGATCTTACAGGAGACTAGCCTGAGCTCCAGCCCAGCGTTGGAAAGCCAGCGCCTCTCCGTGATAGTGCACAGCGCCGCTGAGCTGTGCAAAGAGCAGGAAAGGCTGGGGTCTCGCGCAGCGCATTGAGGAAAAGGGGGGCCAGGAGCCCACCAATCAGAGCCAGGACCCACTGGCCCCCTGCCCAGCGAGAAGGTGGTCCGGACACCCACGCGGGGCCAGGGGTTCCGGGAGGCAGGGTGAGGGCTAGCTGTGGGCAATGGGTCTTTGGGCAAGGAGCGCGAGCAGCGGGAATTTACCTGAGCGGCAGAGCTACCACAGCGACTTCCAGGAGCTCCCACGCTGTGGGCGGCTCTCGGCAGAAAAATCCCCTGTTTAAAGGAACGGGCCAATGCGCAGATGCATCTCCAGCCAATAGGAGCTCTCCGTGTGCCTACTGCCCCTGGCGCCATCTTCTTGGTTGGTTGAGAGCCAGTCAGGAGCAGGTTGGTGGGCGGGTTTTAGCCTGTGGCTAATCTGCAACCATTCTCGATTTACCCATCCCCTAATCCATCCCTGCGGGGGAATAGTTAAAGTGCACATTCTCTGCGTTTTCTGTTGAAACGGCTTTGCGTTGTCCTCTCACCTCTCCTGCGGTTCTCTAGGCAACCGATCGGTTAGGAGACCAGCTCTCAATCCTAACGCGAGGAAATTATAACAATGACAGGCGGATCCCAGGCGGTGCCCGGCCAATCCTAGGCCCCGCCCCCATACGCCTAAATGTTTTATAGCTCAGAACTACTCAGTCAGTAGAGCTGCAGTCATTCTCGCCTCTCCTGGCTTTAAGTCAGAAGAACCAATCAGAACCAAGACCCACTCAGTCCTGCTAGCCAATCGGCATGGAGAGTCTCTCAATTGTGCCAATGCTAAAGAGCCAAGCAGAACCGCTAAACACTAAACCAGTGAGCACCTAGACCAGGCACTCAGTCAAAACCCAGACCCATCCCAGACCTTCCATCCCATTAGAACCCACAGCCCTCAGTCTTGAGGACCAGTAAGTATCAGTCTGCCCTCTCCCTTGTCTTCCCTCTTAGCTTAGTCACAGCAACCACGCAGGATGGGAATCCTTCAGTTTCATGGTCAATTAACACCTCCCTTCTCCCCCTATCCAGCCAGGAAGTCTCTTCTCATTCCCCTCAAATCACACAGATCCAGAATTTGGGCATCCGCAGACTCATCATCCAATCATAAATCAACCATGCGCCAGTCACAATCTGCTCCCTCATGATGGTTTCCTTTCCAAACTTTTTTTCGTGTAATATCTCTTTCCTCACTCGTATTCCCCTCTGAGCAGTCAATAAAGAGCCAATACTATATTTCTACTTTTATTTGGCAATAATAAATTGTATATAAAAAGGGGGAAGGTAGGCAGGGAGGCCCTGGATCTCCCCCTTTCTGCTTCCCAAGTATCCCTCACTCTTTGGCCCCAGCAGGGATCATCCCTTCCTGCCTTGTAGGTGGGGATTGACAGGCATGGGAATGCTTTCTGTGTGTGTGTGTGTGTGTGTGTGTGTGTGTGTGTGTGTGTTTGTAGGGGTATTGGGGGTCAAGATTGGAGCGGAGGTTGGGGATAGAGTGCCTTCCCTCATCCCCCACCAGAGCTGGCACCCTGATGAGGGGTCTTGAGGGGTTATGAGGGCTCCTATGGGCTATCCTATGAGACGATAGCAGATCCAGCATCCAAAAGTGACCCAGTGACTGGCCCAATTGAGCTCGGACCACTTGTGGACAGTGTATGCCATGCCATAGCCCTGTGGGAGAAGAACAGGGGGTGGTTCTGCTCAGCAACGACAAATAGGGTCTCAGCAAAACCTAGCCTCTTCCCAAGGGTATTTCTGTGACTTCATGGTAACCCTAGGGGATAAAAGGCCCTGAGTACATGTGAAGGGTGACCAAATACAGTTTTTTTTCTTTGAAAATCATTTTAGTTTAGTAGCACATGCCTGTAATCCCAGTATTTAGGAAGCTGAAGCAGGAGGATCTATGTGAGTTCAAGGCTATCCCAAACTACACAGCTAGAGTGTATCTCAAAAAAATATTGTAAAGGGGATGAGGATGTAGCTCAGCAGTAGAGTGCTTGCCTATCATGCATGAGGGCCTGGGTTCCATTCCCACCACTGCCAAAAGCAATCACTTTAAGGGGTTGAAGGTGTAGCTTAGTGGTAGAGTGTTTAGTATTTGTGGGGCCTTGAGTTTGATTCCCAGCACTGCCAATAAAAATCATTCTATTTGGTTTTTTTTGAGACAGGGGCTCATTAGGCAGTTCAGGCTGGCTTTGTGCTCACTTTTGTAGCCCCCAGGCTGGTCTCAAACTCTCAGTGATCATCCTGTTTCAACCTCCCAAGTGCTGGGATTACAGGTGTGCGCCACCATGCCCGATTCAAAAAAATCATTCTAAACAAGACAATGCAATCCTACTTTCTAACCTGTAATCTTAATATATAAAGAGCTACTAGAAATCAATCTTTTGTAAATGCCAAAAAAAATCACCAAAGGAGGTGAAGGCTATATAATGAGCCCATAAGGCCTTGAGCTTATGGTGATCCTCCTGACTTAGCCTCCTGAGTGCTAGGATTACACGTGTATATCACCATATATCAATTTGTTTTCTTTCTTTGTTGGCGTTGTTGCTTTGTAGTGCTAGGGATGAAACCCAGGGCCTGACACATGCTAGGCAAGCGCTCTACCACTGAGTCACACCCTTAGTAATAAAACATTTTAATAAAAATTTGCAGAATTCACACACCTACAATATTTAAATGACAATGGAATGCCCATCTCTGACAAAACTAAACAAAAAAGGGGATACAAATGTAGGACCATTTTGTATCTGTATATTCAAAATAGTTAGGATGGATATACAGCTACTTTCTCTTAAGTCAATGAATAGAAAGATTTGTTCTAATAGTGTTTGTGGACAGGATATGATGTCTGCATCTTGTACTATGAATAACCACTAAGAAGACAACAATATGCAATGTATTAATGATTGAGACTGTCCTGCTAATCAGTTTTGAAACTGTCTCATTGCTATTTGTTTCTCAATAAAATTATTTTTAAAAAATACAACAAAAGAACTTTATTTAAGAAGAACTCAAGCCCAGATCTTTTATACTCAACCTAAATAAGAGTTTAGGGGCCGGGGAGATAACTCAGTACAATAAGTGCTTGCCTGGCAAGTGCAAAGGCCTGAGTTCAATCCCCGGTTCCGCCAAAAAAAAAAAAAAAAATTAAATTGTTGAGTATTTTGTTATTTGTCTAATATCTTTTCTTTTTTTGTCTAATATATTTTCTTAATGTTTGTTTGTTATGCTACAACATGGGCTCATTATGTAGCCCAGGCTGGCCTTGAATTCCAGGCCTTCCTGCCTTAACCTCCCAAGTGCTAGGATCATAGGCATGCACTACCATATACGGCTAAAATTTTTTCCAGTCATGGCCTTGCTATGTAATTTAGGCTGGCCTTGAACTCACTGTATAGCTCAGGCTGGCCTCAAAATCATAGCGATCCTCCTGCCTCAACCTCTAGAAATGGGCAAGCAGGGATCAATTTGTGAGATTTTTTTTTCTTTTCAAGGTTTTATTGATAAACATATAGCAATGAGACAGTTTCAAATCAAATCGAAAGTACAGTTTCAACAAATAATACACTGCATATATTCTTCTTAGTGGTTAATTGCTGTACAAGATGCAGACTTGTGATCCTACTTACAAACACCATTAGAAAAAATCATTCTATTCATTAAGAGAATGCAACTATATATCTATCCCAACCACTTTGAATACACAGATACAAAATGGACATTCATAGTTATACCCCATTTTTTTTTTAAGTTCCGTTGTTGAATATTACAGGTGTGTAAACTCAGCAAAATATTCTAAAAGAGTACAGAAGCCCATAATAGCATTGGGTCTTCTGTTTAATTGGCAATGTCAGAAATTATTGACCATCCAGTAGAAAAGTATGAAGATGAAATATAGGAAGTAAAGCCATGTTGTTATGTTGAGCTGTGGGGGACTCACGTCAATAATTTCTCACTGTGCATTTGAAGTTACTCCACATAGGGAAGAACTGGCTTGTATAAAGGTGATGAGTTGCATTTTGGACAAAATAAGTTAGCCCAGTGAAAAGAGCTCTCAAATTTAAAAGGGGTAAAGGCTGGGCATGGTGGTGCACACTTGTAATCTGAGCACGAGGGAGGTAGAAGCAGGAAGACTTATTGGAGCTCAAGACCAATCTGGGTTATAGAGTGAGTTCAAGGCCAGCCTGGGCTACATAGTGAGACCCTGTTTCAAAAAAAGGGGAGGAGAACTAAAATCTGGAAATTGCATACTTGATATGAACAAAAATAATGAAGAAATTTAACATTTTTAAAACTTTTGAGATGATATCTTGGAATGGGGGGATAGCTCAACGGCATAAATGCTTGCCTAGCAAGCACAAGCTCCTGAGTTTGATCCCTGGTACCAAAAACAAAACAAAAACCCTTCAGGAGATGAGGTCTCAAAACGTTGCTCAGGCTGGCCTCTACCTCCTGGTGCAAGAGATCCTCCAGCATCAGCTGCTCCATAGCTGGAGCTACACGTTCATGGTACCATCTATAAAATGTAAAAATAAATTATGTTTTGCTATTTTTTTAAGGCAGGGTCTCACTATGTAGTCCAAGGTGTTCCTTTTTTTTTTTTTTTTTTTTTTTTTGCGGAACCGGGGATTGTACTCAGGCCCTTGTGCTTGGCAGGGAAGCGCTTATTCCACTGAGCCATCTGCCTGGCCCCCCAAGGTGGTTTTAAACTCACTATGTATCCCAGGCTGGCCCTGAACTCACAGTGATCCTCCTGTCAGCCTGCCTCCACCTCCTGAGTGCTGAGGATTATAGGTGGACGGTAAACATTTTAAGAAGGAAACTCCAGAGTTTGAACTGTCACAGTGGCACATGGCTACAATTGCAGATAAAAGGGAGGCTAAAACAGGAAGACTTCTAGCTCAGCCTGGGCAACTTACCGAGATGCTATCTCAAAAACTAAAATATAAAGAGCTGTGGTGTAGCTCAGTGGTAGAGCATCTGCTTAGCATGTGTAAGGCTCTGGATTCAATCCTCAGTACAGACAGGAAGTAAGAAGGGAGGCATGGAGGGAGGGAAGAAAAAAAAATCCAGTGCAACCTGAATACAATTTGTTTTCTTTTTGCAGTACTTGGAGTTGAACCTAGAGTCTTTACACTGGGCTACATCCTCAGGACTTTTTACTGTATTTTTTATTCATTTATTTATAATGGAACTGGAGATTGAACCTAGAGAGCCTTCCCACTGAGCTACGTCCCCAGCCCTTTTTTGAAAGCATTTTTTTATAATTTTGAGACAGGTTGTCACTAGGTCCCTGAGTTTTTGAGGATGGACCCAAACTCGGACTCCTGCCAAAACTTCTCAAA